TTAACGGAGGGACTAAAAAGGGGCCGGATTTGTGAACAGTAAGGACCAAAAAGGGGATTTTTTCGGTACAGGGACTAAAAAAGGGCTTTTTCCTATAGTAGAGGGACTAAAAAGGGTATTTAACCAATTAATATTAACAAGAAAAAAAAAAATAGAAGCTGAGAATCGAATGTTGATGCTGAGAGTCGAATGTTGATTCTGAGAGTCGAATGTTGATTCGAGATCCTGCGGCCAGCTGGAGAGAATTGCAGCACACAGCAGGAGAAGGATCCGACTGGAGATGGCTTAGGATATCTCCAGCACACAGGAGAATTGGAGTTAGCAAGGCGGATATCTGCAGCATGGGTGCAGAACACGTACGTACATAGAGATCAATGGTTGAGCTAGGATGGTGCAGCACGCAGGAGAAGGAAGCGTCAAGAATTGCATAACACATGGAAATGGCTGAGGATAAATTGTCCAGCATGTGCATGAGAATGAGGTGGGCTGAGTGGATATGCATATGGGGGAGGAAAGGGGTATATAAAGGACTTTCAACAACAAGAACTATGTTGCTGAAAGTCCATTCCACCATTAACATCATGCTCTATGTTGCTAAAACATATTCAAAATTTAAATTTACACTCATTAGCAACGTACAACATGTTGCTAAAATTTAAAATTAATATTTTTCCTTCCCACTACTCAATTATTAAAATTAATATATTTTAATTAATTTTTAATCTTAAAAAAAATTTATATCTGAAAATTTATTTATTATTAAAATTTTATCAATCTATTAACTTTTATTTAATACTAATAAATTAATTAATATAATTAAATTTTTTATTAATATATAAATAATTTAAAACACTAATCTATTTAAAAATATGTATCAACATGTATATCAGGGTACATAAATATTTCACATAAAATTAATGTAATTTTTGGCCCTTAGTTGACTTTTAATATAAGAGTCGACTCTTTTGGGAAAAGAGTCGACTATACCCACCACTGGGAACTTTCCTTGCTCTTTGGAATTTGGTAGTCGAATGTTGCTCCTTTATAGTCGAATTTTGGAGGCATTAGAGTCGACCCTTTATGTATAAAGTTGACTCTAACCTGCAGTAGGATGCTTGAACCTCTCTGGAATTTGGGAGTCAAATGTTAATCTTATATAGTCGACTCTTGGAGGATTTAGAGTCACTCTTAATTCATAGTGTTGACTCTAACCTGCAATAGAATGCTCGAACCTCTCTAGAATTTGGG